AGAGGAAAGCGTAAAACCTGTGTAACACCGCCCTGCTTGTTCTTGCACGTTCTCACAAGCTTCATCACTGAGACTGATAGAGGCAGATATCAGCAATGAGGAATAGGTTTTGCCCGTGGTGACAGAATCAAAAAGAGGAGTAGCCACTGATATTTGCTGCAGTCAGCACTGAGCGAGTGTGTCTGTGCTGCACTTCAAAAACCTTTCTCAGGGACCCGAGGCAGATTCTGATTACCATGTGTGGTTTCTAATGTGTCTTTGGCTCAGCTCCTATAGCTTTCTACTCTCTGATTTTAATGTTTTTGTGGTTAGCATTAAGCTGATCAGAGTAATTAGTGATACAATTTTTTTACATAAATATATATCTAAATTTCTTTTAAGAAAGCAAGCATTAAGTCCTTTAGTGGAAAATACTTTTAGTATCAGGAATCATTTACATGAAGCATTGTGTTTCTGCAGTGAAAGCGTATTTTTCAAAGTTTGGGATTAAAAAAACCTTACTAAACAGCTATCAGACCTAACATCATATTTCCACAGAATTTTGTCAATTGTAGATACTCATATTTAAAGTCATAAATTAATTTAATACATTAGATGTGGTTTGGTTTATTTCCAGGGGGAGATGTTTATTGAATGTACTTTAAACAGTGTGGTATTAAAAGTGCAAAAGAAACACCACTGTATATGTATATAAATCCATTCAACAAAAATAGGGGGCTTGTAAGGCATGAATTGGTTGAGTTAACAGGCAGATTGTTTCTTTTTTAACTTAGTCTAAGGACAGCTTGGATTTCTGTACTTTTTTCCCTTCATATGAAATACCTTTTGTTACATTTATCAGTGGCTTACTTAAATTCTTCCTCATAAAGACAACCAGGACCAAATGCCTTTTCCACTTAACATTTTAGAAATTTTTACTTTTCAAAACATATCTTCTTGTCTTTCATATTTTTCGGGCATGATTTGCTTTATGTATCATGTTCTTAGATTAGCAACCTGGCAGGGTGGGGGAAAGAAGAGAAGTGTCAGGTAGATACCATCTTAGGAAGTCATCACATTGTTTCTTTTTTAGTGGGTGGGGTGGGAAATGGGTTGTATCAGAGGCTGCATTTTGTGGCTTGACTCAATTTACATGATTGTCTGTGAACTCTACTGGATCGCTGGTTGTACTAAGAGGTCTCTGCATGAGGTAGGATTTTTTGGGTTCTTACCATCTCTCTTGTGATTGATTTTACCTTTTTTTTTTTCTTTTCCTCATGTTGTTCTTCCACTAGTGTGTAGCATGGTGTCTTTATAGCATTAAGGAGGGAAGAGGAGGGAGAGACAAAGCATGTAAAAGAAAGGCAGGTCAAATGGTGAATACAAAAGTGGTAATAGTGACATAGTTGCTGGCAACTGCGAGAATCTTATCCCAGAGCTACAAAAAGGACAGAAGAAATGGTAGCAGGGGAGGGGTGGTCACCAGTCCTTAGACCTTTTTCAAAATAAGGTAAAAACTTAATGATTCTAATTGCTAAATATATGATAGTATTCCAGCGTAGGGGTTAAGCTGACAAGTGAGGACCCTTGTTTGAAGACACAGATCCTGGGTAAACAGAAAGTATGTTTACCTCTTCTATTTAAGGCTTCTTAGCTGACTTGTGTAGCAAGAATTTTCTAATGTTACATTTCATTTGGTATTGCTTTACACTGGCACAAAGGAATCTCTCTGTTTACTTGCAGTCCAACTCTACTGTTATTTTCTGCATTTTTGATAACTGCTTTTAAGAGCTTCGACAAATCAATCTTTAGGAGAGTTAAGTCAAACTGATAATGGAAGATGATGACTATTGTTGGTTTATGAGGTAGAGGTGGTGATTAGCTTCCCGTGTGTTACAGCATTTAGTTAGGATGGGACAAATATCATGTGCCATTAACTAGTAATTTTTTAATGTAAGTCTGTAAGTGTATCTAAACCAACTACATTGATTAACCTAAGAAAAGTACACACCTGACAGAATTACATCAGGTAATAATTTAAATTCCATTTTAAAATGGAATTCTAAAAGAAAACCAACCCTTCTAACATAGGCTAAGCAGGACATCTTGTTACAAAGAATACATCCTTCAGCTGACAGTTTTTCCTCTTCTGGAAACATTTGTGCACAGGTTCATAAGCCACCAGCAAGGGTTTAACATTTCAGCTTTGTTGCTGTTCCCCTCTTTGTTTGCTTTTTTTGTTGTCAGAAATTTGTGTGAGAGTAGGACTTGTTATTCAGAATTTAATCTATGCCATTTTATTCCTTCCTTCCTTCACACAGAATCTTCTGTTCATAGTTTTTCCTAAACAACTAATTGATTGCAAGTGAGGGGAAAAAAACCTGCAGAAACAGGTGAAGCTTCAAGTAACACAAGTTCAAATTTTGACTTCGTTCGAATGCTTCAACGTGTGTTACCAAAAATGAGGGAAGAGAAGACAGAAATGTGGTAGGCTTAACTGAGCTTCAGAGTTTTCAAAGTATGAAGTCTTTGAAAGCAGGAAGGGGTTTTTTTTTCAGTCTACCTCATGACTTTTAAGATGCACAATAAACACAAACCAGTCTAGCTACTTGTATGTTTGTTAAAATTAAGAGAAAAATTTTGCTGGCCATCTTTCTTCTCTTTTAGCTATTTCCTATTTTAGATATCTTCAGGCAGTTTCCTGATTCATACATGAGTGATGCTTCCTTTCTCAAAGTTCCTCTTTTACATGTTTCTCCGGAAGAGAAACTAATTTGACTGTGGAAAACAGCAAATTCACATAAAAGAAAATCCCTCCTGCTAGTCTGAAAATGCAAGCTCAAAAGAATTTTCTTCCACTCATTGTTTCACATGATCTCTGGGGTTTATGATAATGTGCTAGCTCTCCTGTCTCCCTTTGTTTAGCCTTTTAAAAACCTGTCTTTGGCCAGGATTATTACAAGAAGGGAATGCCATTTGTTGTTATGCCAGGCATGGATTTACTGGGAAAGCTTTAGCTCCGTGCTATGCACAGCAAGTGGGGGATAGCACTGCCACACTGCATCACGTGATGGCAGCTATGTGGCCTCCATTTGAGACTGGGAGCTCTGTACATTAGCAAAGTCTACTCAAGTTTGTACAAACAGCTCTGAGCTGAGCTCTGTCAACTGTCAGAGCAATTCAGTGCGAACGAGCCAGTTATTCTGACTTGTTGCTCCCAAGGTAAGACATCCTGGGTCTACATTTTCCCGTAAATGTGCCCCATGAATGCAGGATCCTGATGTTCTGCAGTACCAAATCCATCTTTTAAGATCTTGTCCCTGAATAAAAATTATATTTGTACAATGTAAAAATTTATAAACAACTGATATATTTATAGCTCTCCACAGTTCTCTGGAATTATTATTATCAGGATAAATTTTTACTATCTAGATAAGGATAAGTCATGTGAATGTGGTATAAATTTATACATCTGGAGCTTGTAGCTTTGTTAGTAGAAACTTACAAAAATATCCATACATAGACAGGCACTGCCTTGGGCAAAAAGGTAAATTAAAGAAAGGTATAAGCCAATGTTTAACATCATACCAAAGAAACTTGAAGAAAAAAATATCCCATAATAATGTATTACAAATTTTACACTTTCTGTTAACTTGGAAGCAACTTATGGATATTATCTTACAGTTTGGGTGGTTTAACTAACTGAGCCTCTGCCTTTACCTAATCTGCAGTTATTGCCATTCACCATTTTTACTTAGTTAATTAAATACCTAGACAACAGAAAGGGTTACTTTGCAGGCATAGTCTTTGTCATCCAAGTAAACATTTGTGGGCAGGCAGAAGCAAGTTTGCTCCTCCCATGCTTTTAGCCTGAACAATATGATTCAGCTCAAGGTTCAAAATCTTTTTAAAGCATTGTCAGAGGACACTGCTCAATCTGGTAAGTCTTGGTTCAAATTTATGCTCCTAAGTATAGGCTGGGCTGATACCCCCCACCAGTTCACAGCTAGCTATAGTTAATTGCTAGGACAGCTCCAAAGAATAGCTTACAGAACCAGGTCAGTGCATAGAATAAGTTTTGCTGTTTTAAGCTCTTTTCTCCACAGACCAGCAGTAAAAGAAATTCTTAGTTAATGTTAACTGTGGGTGGTATCAGGAATCAGGCAGATGCAACCTGTCATGCTTTCAGAACCAGCTTTTGACCAGACAGGAAACTACTGTCAGTGAAGCTGGAGTGCAGTATTGCTTATTTCGTTCTTTGTTCTTCTGATGTCTGGGTTATAAGAAAATTATTTGTTGAGCTAAATCTCTGTTATACGTGGGAGGGATACTTCAAAGTTATCCTGTATTAACATTAGGTACTGTGCTATACTGCAGGGTCTTAGTTATGTTTTATTAAGTTACTAAAAACACTTTGATCTTCACCTACCTCATTTGTCTGCAATTCTTTATTCAATTCATTCACTTAAAGGGCTCTCAGGTGGTTCCTTGTTCTTTCAAGGACCTCCCCCACCATGTGACAAAGCCTGTTGTCAGATCTTCAGTTCCTGTTTCTGCCACATGTAATACAAACCCTTTCTTTAAATCTTAAAAAGTTTCTAGGCTAGAGCTTTTCAAGCACTTGCTGACTAGGTTTTTGTAGTGAGATTACAGCAGAGAACTTCCACCACATTGTGTTTGGGGTTTTTTTTTTTTCTTATTATTTTCTTTCATGATGCAGTTTAATTGCAGCTTGATTATAGAGTTTCTGCCTCGAAAGAAACAATATAGACAGTCAAACCGAGGACAAGGTTTATTAGAATAACCCTCTTCTTTTATCTTAAGCTGTTTGTAGCAGAATGTTTTTCCAACTAGAAGCTCTACAAATTCAAATGTACTATTTATAATGTATTGATTGCACTTCCTTCTGTAGCTGCTGTTAAGCAATTTGCTGTACATACTTTCCCTCCCTCCAGCAGCACTCTATATTTAACCCACATGCCTAGGTCTTGTTTCTACAAATTCTGCACTGGCTGAGGCATGCCACATCTGAGCTGAAAAAAAGAACTGAATCCCTTGGGCCAAATTCATTCCTGGAGCTGCTTGATTGAACACAATGCATTTACACTGAACACAGATTTGGCTCATACCTGACTTTGTCAGCATTCACTGTGCTGTAACTAAGTAACAAGAACACTGTCATTAAGGGACAGATGAACAGCTTTCTCTATGGTTGTTAGAGCACTGAGCACCTTTAAGGAGTGCAGAAACTGGTGAAAGGAGGAGTTGAGAAAAGGACACCGCTCCTTTTAGAGTCTGTGTAACAGGACTGATAAGCTATTCCTGTGATGTGATCGAATGTGACTGAATACTGCAGGCTCTTGGACTCTTATTCTATAAAATCCACAGCAAAGCAGCACAGGAAAAGATCGGAGGGAACAGCTTCTGCTGTACCGAGAAAGGTACCTATTTATATTTTCTTACTTCTCAGGCTTGACACGATTTGCTATCGTAGATACTGTCACTGTTTTAAACAGTGGCGAGTATGAAAGGAGCGGTGTTTTTCACATTCTGACTGGTACTCATACTCAGGAAGCCAGTCCGTGGGCAGCAACAGCTTTCACAGAGAAAGAGTAGGACTTATTTGGTGTAATGCATTTATACTGTATTGTAAACCTTGACAGTTGAAAGAAATGAGATAACCCCAGCTAAATTGAAAATGTAATTTACGGCTATAAGTATGCTGGAATTCAGTGCTCATTTGTATTCAAGAAAAAGCTGAATGCGAGTCAAGCTTCAGTTCTGTCATATTTGACTGAATAGCTGCTTTTATAAATGTGTTGCTGCAGCTGTATTTTATGGAGGTTTTCATTCTCAAGAGGGAGTTCTGCTACAGCAAACTATCTGTGAAGAACAGACAAAAAGCTTGTACTTTTGCTTGCTAGCTGCGTGGCTGCTCATGAAGTATGTTTCTAATGCCCTTTATGGACATTCTTTACCTTCTGTCCTTTATAAAAACCCTCATATTTACCAATACTGTCGAGCACATGTCATACCGATGATCTCCATAAACAACCTTTACTTCATAGCTACACTTTTACCCTTACTTTTTTTCTACTTACTCAGCCGTGGGCTCCTCTCACAAAGCCACCACATTCAGGCTGTCATGCATTTGTACAACATTCCAGTATTCAAATGCAAAAGAAAATTTTCCCAATATACAGCTTTAGTTAGCATCAGTGGAAAAAGAGTTTAACCATATTAACCCTGCAAACAATTTACTTGTCACTCAAGTTTAGCAGTGTTTTTTAGCAGCTGGTATCAGGTTTATCTCTGCCAGTCTCACACTGTTGTCTTTCAGCAATCCTTCAGGATCATTGGAATTATAACTCACATGGAATTTTCTGAAAAAACATAATTTTGGCAGCAGTCATTGAAACCAGATTTTAATGTGTGAGGCCGTCCATACCAGTTCTGCTTGAGCTCTCTTAGAAGAGATTTCTCAGAAAGCAGTTTCTAGCTAAAGTAAGAGACACTATACCCACTCCAGCTCATTTTCTGGGGAGGGCATTCGCTCAGGATTTGAGGCCAAGATTTCAAGCCCTGCGCTTGTCTCAGGCTGCCTCTTCCCACGCAGTGTTTTGGTTACCTGCTGTGCTGTGGTGGATCCCACCTTGCCTGGCCTGTTAGAGCTGTTCATTTCCATAGAAATAAGCCATTATTTCAGCAGCAATTTCCTTCCTATTCTTTCAGATCCTTCAGTGAGTGTTTCACCAGGTCTCAGTTGTGCACTCCCCTTGGCCTGAAGACCAGCTTGTGGAGAGCAGAAAGCTGTGCTGGAGAGAGACAGATTTACACTAGATTATTAGCTGGTAGCCTTGGAAGCAGGGCAGAAGCACACAGTGGGGATTTGGGACACTGAGGATTTAGCACTTGATCTTTGTGATATAAAGAGAGAATGTGAAATAAGTCTATCTCAGGTGATCATGCTGAGGGTAACAAGCCATTTTTCCTCTGCCAGCCCTTTCTCCCTATCTCCATTTGGAGCAAAATCATTCAGTAGGAGGTAGTTTTACCCCCTGGGGCACGTTAAAATCTCAGCTAAGAAAGCTTTTTACAGATCAGCTCCTAGCATGCTGTCAGCAGATCACTTTCTGCTTTTAGCAGACCACTGCTTCCCAGGTTGGTGTTGTACAGTTCAGCTGAGCTACACCAACCACTGGCCTCAAACACTAGTACAAATAATCCAAATGCATCTAATGTTCTGGAGTGGGAATAACAACTACCAGGAACAAATGCCACCAAGGGGTACCTGAAAAGATCTTATTCCTGCAAAGCTGTCTTTGCTCAAAGCCTGGTAAAGTGCATTTCTTATCCTTGAAGAATTCTCTCATCCCAAACTCTGACTTTAAATCATGCAATGTGATTAGGCCAGACTGAATCAGAAAGTTACAGATCCACATGGACCTGCCTGTTGGATGGAGATGAGGCCTCTCTTCATGGCCAGTTTATTCTAAACCCTGCTTTCCTTTATGGGGCACACAGCCATTATATAAACCATTTCCTCTGGGTGATAGCACCGAAGACCACTAGACAATGGCTACTGTAAAGGGAGTTTTAAGTGGGTAGCAATTATGTGAATAGAAATAGAGAGAATGGATATAAACTGCGGAGAATGGATATAAACACCTTTATGAAGCTTAGTTGATGAGCTCCCAAGTAGGGGATAGGCACTTTTCTGTTCTTTTCCTTTCATTCAGTGAGAAGAAACCTGTATTTGTTTCATTGCAACCTGAGAAGAGGAAAGAAGACAAGACAAAAGGCCTAAGGGGAAAAAAATAATCATCAGAACTTTGCATTTATAGAAGACAGAATTTTTGGTCATGGTAGTGAAGCTAAATTATAGTAATCTGAAAAATCCCTAGGAAAAGGGAAATTCAGATTTCATAATACTTAATGAAAAATTATATAAAGTCTGTTCAGCTTGTTTTTATGATGTCAGTGGAAAATCTGAATGTCAAATTCCCAGACTAAGTTTCCATTGAAATACAAGCTATTCACATTTGGCAATATACTGATTATTCTTCACAGTGTTGCACTCATTTGAAAATACATAAACAATAATGAAAGAATAGGAGGTAAAAAGATATTTTTTTGACCTTTAAAAGTACTAAATTATGAAGCTGTTGAATTGTGTTGCCTACAGCAACAGGATACAATGTGTTTGGCAGAAGTTAGTTCAGACTTTCTGTCCAAAATACTCTGCCTTTCTTGCTCTGGGAAAAGATCAAGAAAAGCAAAATGCCACAAACCAGAGATTGTCTCACTCAAGACAGCACAGGACAAAGAGTCAGGGACTCCAGTCCCAGGCGGGGCACAGCACAGATCGCCTAGTGCAGAGCAACAGACATTGTTCAAATATGCGTAGAAATGTGCTAAGTCTTCTGCATTGTTTTTGCACTGCTTGTGAAAGAGCTACCATGTCCTTAACTATATACAAATCCTCTGCATGCTTTAGTGTATGTGATACTTAAAGGCATAATTTCAGCAGAAGCTTTTAAAAAGTTTGAACTTAAACCTTATATCCAGAGCAGGGACTTTTCTGACAAAGAATAATTCAGTTTTGCAACATCTTGAAAGTTATAGAAATAGTGGTAACTTTAACTTACTCTTGTGGCAACAAAGATGTAGGCAAGACAGCTCACCCAAGACCAAATCAGAAAAACATTGTCAAGATGAGACTCAACCCTAAGCCCCCTGACTCAGGATCACAAAGTTTACTCTCATTCATGGGGAATGGCAGAATTATGTACATGCTGGTTTTGTGGAAGATGGTTTTTTTGTGGTTATGTTTAGGACTTCATTTTTAGTACAAAGCAAAACAGTATCAGTTTATCCAAGCTAAAACTGTAATGAGAGGTTCTGTAATTAGGCTTATAAGGATTCAACTTGATTGGAAAAATATTCTATCCAAGTTTCCAACCTCCCAAGTATTTTAATCTTATTTTTGCATCTGTAGGGAATGAAGCCTTGTTATTGACTCGTAATGAACTAAGCTTCAGAATAGTTAAATATTCAAATTTAATACTTTTTTAATCCACTAAGTGTGAAACTCGCTAAGTCATATGTCCTTATTAAAACTCAGAGTATTGAAAGGTGCTTACTTTCAGCATGTTTCTTTTTCTTCTCTGTAAATATCAATTTTTAGCAGAGGAAGGTTGTTTTGGAATCTGAGAGAGAAACACTAGCAGTCAGTAGTTTAGACCAAATCTCCCTACACTTTCCTCTGAGTGTTACAAAAACTTCATATAGTTTTTATGAAGCACTGAGAAAAATCTCAATTTGAATTCATCTGGTGACTTGGAGTTACATTAAACATTGATGTTGCCAATTGTTATAATCCTTATTTTTTCGCTTCAGGGAATTCTAAGACCAGTTATTTTTTTAACAGTACTTGGAAAAAAATCACCAAAAGGACTGATAAATAGCATTGCTGAAAGATCCTTATTGTAACCTGTGGTGAAATGGCTGGAGTCACCTGTAAAAGAATAAAGAACAGGATGTATTGTTTTGTGCTCCATCACATAGGCATTTTTCTGTTTTTAGAAAAACTGGGGCTCCTGTAATAGCAAGGGGGTAGTGAGTCCCCTAACCAAAACAACTACTGGCATAATAATAGATCCCCAGCACTGAGCCAGTCTCTTGAGGTTTCTTTTATGGCCATTGGAATGACTTAAGTATTTTATCTTCAAGGGCAGGTAAATTGGGGCAGCAGATTCCCACAATTTGTGATTGCTTCTTTCTGTAAGCTGAAGCAGAGGTGCTCCCATTCAAGTCTGGTTATGGTTTGCAACAGGGGAAAACTGCTGAACTGCATTGTGAAGTTATGATTTGGTCTTATGAAACCTGCCAAAATGAGTAAGATTAGATGCATAAGAAAATAACCCAGTGCTTAAGAAAGACTCGTCAGTACTTTGACAGGTCTGGGCATGAAATTTTAATATGTTTTCTTTTAAACTCTGTCTTCTCAAAACCAGATTTAGTGATAGATGTTATTCATTCCTTTTCATAATGTTATCCCTCCAGTTTTCTGCTTATTCCCTTGCTGAATTTTTCATTTTGCCTACTATTCTCCACTTGAAATTTTAGTTTTCAGAGGGTAGGCTCACTTTATCATGATGTTTCTAATGCACAGAAGAGGTTGCAATGCTAAGCTGTATATTTGGAACTGCAGTACAAGCATTAAATAGTAAGAGCAACTGCCTTGTAATAAGTGGCTATGGGAAACTTGACTGTGCAAGTTCAGTTTTATTGCATATTTAATGAATCTCATGAATCCATATTAAAGCTAAAATTACAGTTGCATTTTCTAAAGCTGTCATAACATGACTGTCTCTTAGGTAGTGGTAGTTTGAAATTGGTTGAATTACACACTTGATTTTCATATCAAATATTTTCCAGCTAAGAATATGAAAGCAATTACCTATTTTGGTACAGATTTTTTTTTCCTCTGGGTGCATGACCATCACTGATGCATCTCGCTCTTGGCAGGCTGCTTTTATAGCCTACTGCTATCACAAAATTTATTCTCACATCTAAAGAAGACAGAAATTAAGAGGGACAAACTCTGAAAAAGAAATGGTGGGGTTTTTTTTAAAAAAAGAAAAAAAGAAAAGAAACCCAAGATATTTCTGGTTTGCTCCTTTTTAAAGTTACCTTCTCTGCAAACTGGTTTCCAGGATAATTGTCTCTGCTATGAACAACCCATAATGCCAGTTTATGAAGGTGCTGGGGTGTTACACAGCACTAATAATCATAAACAAACCCCGAATAGTTGAAAAACATTCCTTGATACAGCAAAAACAAGTGAACTTGTCTAGGAATGGAAAAAAGCAGCATGTACTATATAGGTTGTTGCTATCTGTGAGCAACCTCTAAGGATCTGTGGAGGCAGGTGGGCTGTGCTGTTACATGTGGCAGCATTCATGTAGGACTCAGAAGTGCGAAGATCTAACTGAGGCACTGTAAGAAATGGATCCCTCTGAGCACTTGATCATAGGAATGGCCAAGCTGAATGAGCTGATTAAGTTTTAGATCTAAGACCATCTCCAGATCATAGACATTTGAGCTTTCATGTATAGCTTTTTTTTTGTCTTGTTAACAAATGTTACACAAAACACGTAAACGAGCAAGTCCTAGCAGCCACTCACCAGTCTAGATCAGAATAGAAATGCAGGTCAGTATTTTGCCTTCAGAGAGGATTCTTGGGTGAACTTGAAGTGGTAAGATTTCATAGCTGAAGATCCAAAATTTGTTTCCAGGTGGCCCCACAGAACTCTCAGTTGTTGCCCTTCAAGAGAAGCTAAAGGGCTGCTCATGGTTTTGCGTAAGGAATGGCTAGAAGAAACAGAAGGCTTTGGCTATCTGTGTGGTTCATAAGCATATCCCAGTTTACACCTTTTTGTGAAGCTAGTTACATCTTAGTATCATGATGTTACACTGCATCTGCTGTGGGTTGCAGCAGCCTAAATACAATCTATGCATTTGAAAAGTTAGGGCATGTACATCTCAAGGCATCTTTGCACACAGTACACTCCTTTAAAACAACAAAATCTTAAAAAGGATACTGCTGTCCAAGTAAGGATAAGGGTGAACTCTTTGTCCAAGATCAGCAAACTTGAGTGTTTTGCTCTGCTCTGGCTAACAGAGACATGTTAAGAAGCAGCATTTCACAGGCTGCAGATCAAGAAACTGCCCTTCTTTAATACATGGGCTTCTTAGTATGTGATGTCTTGTAAAATTTGGTGCATAAAGCCTGTAGTGGTGTGAAAAATAAGACAATGGAAATCTGGTTTGCTGACATACCCTTCCATGCCTGGGTAACAGTGTGAAAACGAAGGGGTAGGATTTTACTGTCAAGCAGCTTCTTTTTGTTAAGGTATAAAAATAAGTCTTCACAATCTGTTGCCTATCTGTAAAGGAAGTCTCGGTATTCCCAAGTGGGGCTGAGATAGCCTACAGATGCTCTCTCTCCCTGTTTTGAGAAATCTCAGCAAATGGTCTCATATCTATACTAAGCAATAGAGGAAAGCTGTTCCTCAAAAAATATACCACCTGTAGTTCATCCTGCAGTAATCATCGATTCTTGCTGTTCAACAGATCTTTGAAGGCAGCCCCAAACATGCTGGCAGAATCTCAGTGTCAAAGCAACAGCCTGTGGCAAGTTGTACTCAGAGGATGCTGAACTATCCTTTGTAACTAGAGGATCATGTCTGGCAGCAGCATGAAATAATTCTGAACACCAACAGTCTTCAGTTCTAGAGTTGAACTGCCACTAAGTGAGTCACTGGCAAGCAGGGTTCATGTGGTTTCCCTTGTGCAGAGTCAGGAAGGTTAGATACCTGCTGGCATCAGTAAATAGGTTCTGGGCTCCATCCATTCACTGCAGTTCAGAATAATTATCTCTCAACTATGTCAGTAATCCAAATCCATCAACAATGACCATACAATTAACTAAGACATGTTTTCACAGCCCAAACCAAGTTCTTGGTGGACAGATAATGTGGAACATCTTCATGTAGAACTAGAAAGAGCACAAGTCCCAGCTGGAAGGTGTAGGACAATTAGGCCTCATCAATAGGACTGCTAGTACATAGAAGGAAAGAAGCAAAATTGACATCCAGGCCTTGATGATCCTGTTGAGGTAGAGAAGCAGGTTCTTATTAGCTAGGAAATAAAATTAATGAAGTCCAAGAAGCAGGATTTTTTCTGTGCTAATGATGCTGACAAGCCCTGAAAGGCAATGTCTCAGGTCAGACTTTGCAAGGAAAGCATTTAAGGTAGCATTAACAGTGGTTACTACTTAGAAGCAAAAGAAATAGACTTTTGACTGCTCCAAACAAATTGTACTTGCTGTGCAACTAAGATAAGTGGATGAGTGAACAAACATCACTGTACTGTAGGTTGAGCATATCGCCATGGAAACTCAGTTATCTTCTAAACTCAAAGTATGTTCTGCATGATGATTAAAAATTCAAAGCAGTGGGATAGATTTTTCCCTGTGTGTAATGTGTATATGCCAAGTCCTACTGCAGAATGGAGGTCTGACCACGCATAACATTTACAATTTTCTTGGGACAATTTGGGGAAAAAAAGAGAAACAGAAACAGGTAGGAAGAGACCTCGGGGAATATTTGGCTAGTCATATAGCTCCTTTACCTCTGGTCTTGGGCAACTTAGGCAAAAGTTTTGAGGATGTTGTAGTTCCTGTTAGAGCAATGGTTTTGCTGAAGTCCAGTTAGGTGAAGTGCAATACAAGTGCAGGCATTCACCATTTTTAGCAAGCTGGAAGAAAGACTTCACAGAAAGAATCAGTAACAGGGTTTTTTTTTAAAGTGCAACTTAATCCAGCCTGCTGAGGCTAAGAAATGGGTTCTGAATCCTTTAGACCTGTGGTCAAATGCTTAATTAGACTTAAAGAACAAATGAACTCGGCAGTCATTCATCCTAATACTAACTGCAGCACATTCCAAGCTGTGCTGTCCTCCCAGCATGCAACTGTCATCCCTGCTTGTGGGAAGCAGAGAGGGAAAAGTGGAGGTGTTAGAAGCTGCATCATCAGAATGAGGTGTGTTTTGAGTTGTACAAGAGGAGCTTCACACGCAGAATCCTCAGGCAAATCAAAACCCTTAGTAGTTTGGCACCCTGTCAACAGCTAAATCAATTGCTTAATATTAAGAACCCTTTCTTTGTAAGATCTTCTTTGCTGTGACTCCTGCAAGGAGATGAATGCAACCTCCCTGTATACTGGCTTGTCTGAAATCCATCAGAGTAAATGGCTTTGATGGGATTTACTGATTGAATTGTACAGGGTGGCATGCATCTCAGATGTTCAGATGCCCTAAACCCAGAAAGACAGTGCCCATGCTGCACACACACAGCCACCTGCAGCTATTACACTGAATTTCAGAGTGAGAATAGGCACAATCCCATCAGATGATTTGAGCTGACCCATCAGAGAAGTACAACATGCCCTTTTGTACGTATCTTCAATTTCATGAGTCTGAGCTTTTCTCTGATTCGGGGATTCAGTTTATGTTTTTATAACCAGTGAGAAAACATCCCTACTTTATAAAAGGAAATGCATCTTTGGTTCTCAGATTGACAATTTGTGTCAAAGGTTTTATAAGCAGGAAAAAGGCTTCTATTTTCTGTAAAACATTCCACCTGGTCCCTCTGCTGCAGGCTGTGAAAGGAAGGGGGCAGGCAGGGTCCTACTGAAACATCAAGCTCAGCTTCTCTGCAGAGCATGCAAGAAGGGCAGGTGCTGGCATAGAGCTCTGCATGCAGGGTAGGAACTCACAACCTGCAGATTGGCTTGAAACAGAACATTTACTTGGCAGTGGCCAGTTTTCTGCTGGTAATTGTGCTCAAAATTAAAGGGTGAGATGTTCCACATTTTACCACTAAGGCCAGCTTCGAAGTTTTCCAGTGCTCAAAAATTTAAGAGAGAGGGATCACATGCAGGCTCTGATTTAAGGTTTCAAATCCTTGGAAAAAAGAGAACAGATTTGATGCCGAGAGGCTCCTTGTGCAGCGGCATGCGTGGAGCCAGGACTGAGCAGCTGTGTGGGGGAAGGGACTAGAGCATTAAATAAAGCTACTTGTTGACTGCCTGTAAAATTGGCTCCTAAAGGGAGTGCCACAGAGCACCATCCATTACCAAGTGACAGAGAGCAATTTTCAGCTACTCTAGAAAATACCATAATTAAACTCCGTGTGTTCCTGTTCAAATATGGCTGGTTGTGGGTTATTCAACTTAGTATTTACAAGAAGGATAGGTCTCTCCCGTGCCACCTTAACCCTGGGCTGTTTTTCTTTTTCCTTCCAGATGCTGGAGAGCTCTTCAGTCCTTTTGTTCATTGTCTTCCTCCTGCTTTTCATTTTGCTGCTCTTTGTGGTGCTCATCAGGAGAAACGCCACTGCTGCCCTTCTCTGGAATGAAATCATCCGCGAGAAAATAACCAATTTCATCATGAATCAGAGCAAGGAACAGAGGATTTTAAACTTCGTGCTGCAGAATGCAGTCCGAGGAGACCCCTGTAGTGTGCTGGAAGCTATAGATAAGTACTGCTCCCAGAAAGAGTGGGCCATGAATGTGGGCAGTGAGAAAGGTAATTGCAGTAGGTATCAGCACTTGAGAGATCCTTCAAGATTAGCACATTACAGGACGTTTTATTGTATTCACATGGTAACTTCCATCTGCTGAGAAAAAAAAACCAACCAAACCAAATCCCCAACCTCACCCCTCCCCCTCAAAACCCCACAACAGCCTTGTGGCTATCCAGTGAGTAATCCAGGAAGTCACAGGACCCAGTCTGGGTTTGCAGGTTCTGTATATTGCAACTGTGTAAGAAGAGAGTGATAATTTATGGAAAAAAATCTAGGTTGTGTTGTACCTCAGTTCTTATACAAGGTGCCCTTAAGGCATAATTCATTATGTGAAATACTTTCAGATCCTTAACTGAAAGATAGTAAAGGAAGGGGGAAGGGGGGATTTTAAACTATGTTGTGTATGCAAGCATAAGTTATAAATCAGTGTTGAAGGGAAAAATCCTATCCATGTAATACACAGAGGCAGTGCTCAGACATTGCTGCTACTTAGCAAGTAAATCATCTTGTTCTTGCCTCCTAACAGAAAGTACATGGACAAAGCATTTTTTTTTCTAAGCTGCGGGAAAGTGACAATCTGTTCAAAAAACTGTAATGGCAAAATGTTAACATGTTATGAATTAGACACAAAAGTACCTCTTGCTGGGAATTGCAGGGGAGAGTTGCTTAGCCTGGGATTAACATAGCTAATGAAATACAACAGTAAGCATTGTAACAAAAATGCTGCTCTGTCACGGGTACAGTTCTTGAAACTCTGCATACCAGGCTGGCTGCTGAGGGCAACAGAACAGTGGGTGGTGGCTGAGCAGGAATTCTTAAAGCTCTAAACCTTGATCAGCTGGGCTTATATTCTTAAAGATTTCACTTGAGTTTTGCCCTGACAACATGGTCTTTCCTCAGATCAGAGCCATCAACATTAATGCATCCTTAGTTCCAAAGATTTTGGGAGTGACCATGTAGTGCCACGATGCAGGCATCATCATCATACTATTCATAAACAGATGACGTCCAGGAAAATACCAGATAATGAAATTTATATGTAGACTGAAAAATTCCATGGCTCACTGTAAGATCCCTTCAAATACTTTTTCAGATTAGATATCTAGTTTCCAGCCATACAAGTAAGAGCAGGCAGTTTTCTCACAAGTAAATTCTTTTCTTCAGAAGGATTGAGTATAGCCAGTGTCACTTTGGTAACATTTTGTTGTTATTAACAATTGACTGATGTTTTCCATGTCACAAATTCATCCAGTGAATCCAAATATTTTGCAAATTTATAACTACATTTTTCTTTTTCCCTTTAAAAACAAGTATTTAGGCTAAGACATTTTGTATCAGACTACCGCATGTAACATTTGCAACAAACATGAGCATTCAAAATTCAGGATTTATGTATTTCACAAACATGGCTAGTTTCTGCAATCAATTCTTAGACAAAACCACTGCATTTTTCCCTTGTAACACTATAAATATTTTAGTGAATTCCTCACTCAGAAATGTTTATATTGTGAAACTAAGTAACATTTTTTCTAGTTGAAAGCTTGTATTTCCAAACTTAGAATGTCCATGAGTAACTTGATCACAGATAAGCCAGTTTGCAAAGAATATAGTATATAATTTGACTTCAACCGTTGATTTTTGAATGTGCTTAGCAATTGAGTATACTTTTAAGTTTCTCATCACTAACTTGCTTTTCTATATGCGAACCAGTTTGATTTTGTCAGAAGTTAACATATTTCCTTTTTATGCAGGTTTAATTCTAGACAAGACAGTGGAAGAGGTCAGTCCATCAGTTGCACTGGAGCTGGGAACATACTGTGGCTACTCAGGAGTTAGGATTGCTCGGCTGCTGAAGGCAGGAGCTCGTCTTCTCACTGTGGAGTTCAACCCAGAATTTGCTGCTGTAGCTAAACAGATGTTTGAGTTTGCTGGAGTACAAGATAAGGTAAATACCATTTGTCTCCAAGCAGTACAAGGAAGCAATACATGGAGATTAGGACTTTATCCATAGAAACAACATAAATAGGTTTACATTTATTTTTTTACTTGTCAAGCAAGTATGACACCCTAAGTGTTTGGGAACATGCGGAGTTCAACCATCAGACTTGATCATAGGGAAAAGCTACCAGCGTCCACAAAAAGGACCGAGGTTATCTGTGCTTTTGTATATACAGCACAAGCAAACTAAATTTGTTAGCATTAGTCAGGGGTCCAAGTATGACGCAGACCCAGCTGAGAGTCAGGATAGAGCTTGAAGCTTGTCAAGGGGTGTGTGTGACCAAAACAATCAGGGCTGTTCTCCAAAGTTCTTTGTTATGTGAGACAGGATGAAGATCTGGAGGGGCAAGACCAGAAATAATCATATACATCTGTATCTCCTTAACATTTTGAAAGCACTTAATCTTCATCTTCCAGTTTGGCCTCTTCACTATTCACTGGTTAGTACAGAAGACAGGCCATTTGCTGAGAGCTATTTCAACCCCCCCAGAGACTGTAAGAATAACATAGACCAGGAGGGAGGCTCCAGAGTCAGTTATTTCACTTCCAGTCAGAGATCAGCAGCACACACAATCCTTTTCATAAAACTAGTAACCACTATTGCAAAGCTGGTTAGATTTACTGCAAGACTGCCCCACAGATTCTTCCTCCTGATTATCAGAAGCCTTTCTATGATTTCTGACATTTATTCATAGACATTTTATATTCCTTTTTTTCCTTGCACCCACAGTCCTTATTATTTAACTAGCCCTGTTCCTACTTACAGTCCCTTATCTCTCATAGCAGTACAGCTGAAGGCTTCATTATGTTACCTCCCAAAAGCTAGACTAGAATATTGGTATTCTGTATATAAACTAAAAGGTTCAAGACTGAGTACAACAGAAAACTGAACCATAGTCCAATTTGTTACAAAAGCTCACAAAAAAGAGTTGCATTATGTGCAGTGGACTTCAGATGAGATGTACTTACCCAAATCTAGTTGGTTATAATACATATATCTAAATTTTGTGCAATCTGAGGTGTCTTGACTCTCTGTACAGTCAGTTAGGATGCAGGTAGTTCCAATCTATAACCCAGCTCAGCCCAAGGTAGACATCTACAGCAGGCCAGGGGATTCATGCCTGTCTATTTGACAAATCACTTCAATATAGATGATAAAACTAGAGGAAATAAATCCCACCATGAAGTCTTCTAATGCGTTTCTTGACTTCTTGAAGAGAACCTGAAGCACTAGCAACATCTAAAATTGCATTTTTCCCATCTGATTTAATTTCCCGATCAGCTATGAGTCATAAACCAGACAGATTTCCTTACCACTTTTTTCTTCCACTCCCAGTACATGGCTCTTGCTTGACAAATCAATGTGCAGCAGCTTCTTTCAGTCTGGCCACAGTTTAAAATGAGCTAGAGGCACATGCTTTTTCTTAATGGTTCTCAGTTGATCAGATGGATTTGCGTTTCAGGTAAAACTCCTAGAAGGCCCTTCAGAGGAAATTATTCCCCAGCTGAAGAAAAAATATGAAGTGGATACTCTGGATTTTGTCTTCCTGGACCACTGGAAAGACAGATACACACCAGACACCATCCTGCTTCAGGTCAGTTTGCACAATTTCAGTCTTGTAAGTAAAGTAGCAAATGCATTGATGGCTGTAAGGCCTGTATTCTTTGTGAAGGACTTCATCCTCTGTAAAATGACAAATGGCAGCCCAAATAGCAACCTTACAAGAAAACAGGATTTTGGGGAAAGGATCCCAAACTTTTGTTAGGGACAGTTGCCGACACTACATAGCTCAGGACTTGGCAAATACTTTTGTACCATTTTGTTCCCTGAACAAACGGGTCTGCAGTAGAAATCCTACTTGAGGAGTGCATGGTCTGGGTCTTATGCTCCCTAGAAGAAGTGTCTACGTGGTCACTAACTGGAACACTTGACCCAAAAACATCCTGATCCTGGGAGCAGGTAAGACTTAGGACCTTGCATATCTCAGCTCCACTTCCCTAATTTTCTCAGTACCCCTTTTTTGCTGAGGGTCTATTCTGGCAGCAGAGCTTTGAATGAAATACTATTTTGGTAGCACACCTGGGTATCATCTTTCTCCACCTAATTGCTGGCAAAACGACCTCTGGAGGAGTGCAGACTGCCCCAGTCAGGCGCTTGCTGGGAAGTGCTGTCCAACTCTGTCTCCAGTCCTGACTATGGAAAAATTATGCTCATTCTTCCCGACCTGCCTTAACTATTACTATAAGCATTACAAAAAGCGTAACAGCAGTACGTAATGATAGATGAGGCAACTACTAGAGGACTTCTGGATAGGAAGGAATTTTCAGGTGTTAAATGACTGAGATTGACAACATCTGTATCTGTCAACACAGCACATACAGGCACTCTCCTAGCTTTGAGCTGCAGGCTGGTAAGATTTTCTACACTGCCTGTATGTATGGAAGTGTAACTTTTCAGTTGTTTTCTTCACAAATAAATCCACATTATTTTCTTATCCAGACTCACCTGGTTGTTAATGTCAGCCCTGTCCTCCACATAGCTGTTTGAAAAGAAAATTTGTTTGGTGTTATGGACAGCTAGTATTGAATTTACAAATTGTTCCCTCCCTACAGTTATTTTGTACCCAGAGAATGTTTTCTTTAAAACTGGCTGTGTAAGGATAACTGAGCTCTTTTCACTGGGAAGAGCTGGTGCATCCTTATCAGAGCTTAACCTTCACAACACAGCCAAAATAAACTGGTAGTTTAATTCCATCGTAGTGGTCAGTCTGTTGCAACTGTGGTATAAAGTTGCAAAAATCCCTTATGAAATTAAGAGGAGAAAGATGAAGAAAAGATATTCACTTTTTTTTTGATGTTACACACCTTCTAACATGCAATTTTGGCATGTATTGCAATATGAATATCCAATAGGAAATGTAAAACATTCAGATGAAATATATTTTGGAAGTGGCATAGACAGCATTCCTGACACGAAAAGCATCGGAAATCCTGATGACCAGTGGAAAATACAGCATATTGTCACTTGTAAGCTTCCATAAGCTCTGCAATAGAAACGGACCAGAGGATATTTGCTTTCTCTAAAATGGCTTCTCCTGTGCTGACCAGTGTTTGGTCACCAGAGGCAAAAGCAGAAAGCTGAACAGCCTCCACAGCACTCTCATCAACAGAACTTCTCTAATGTACTAGGAGCAACAAAACCCACCCCTTGTTTTGGCTACAACTGCTGCCTGTAACCACAGGATAACAACCAGCCTGATTAACTACAGACTGTTTTAAAACAGCTGGTAAGTTCAGATAAGCAACTTCTGCTAGACAAAAATACCAACAAAAATTAGGTTTGTAGGTTAACTGAGGATAAACATTGTACTTGAAGTGAATATTACAAGTTAATTATGCCTTGTGGAAATGTGTCAGTGATCTTCATTGTGCACAAGCCCTGCTTCATGCCCAGCTCCTGAACAAAGTGGCAGAAAGTTGTACAGAATGAAAGGAAAACAAGCACAGCAAATCTCGTATACATTTAGATGTTTTGGAGTTTTGCTGGGACTGACCAAAGCAGACTGGTACAAGCCAGTCTCTCAGGTGACCTTAAGAACTACTACAGTATTTTTATGCCATACTAAAAAAGTTTTCAGACTTAAGCATGAGAGCCAAAATAAAACCATCTTACTGGTCATGTAGACATAGTCGGAAACAATCTGAACAGCAAACCGCACACCACCACTGCACTTGATTTGCTGTTTCAGAACCTGAATGACCCAACATGTCATCAGTATCTCTAATGAGACTGTTTAAAAGATAGCATATTAAACATGCCCACAAAGGATCAGAGTTATTCAGCTTCTCCCAAGTCTTTTCTTTGCTCCAAACCTGTATTACAATGGAGTTTTGGATGCAGGCACTTGAGTCTGACATGGTTTGACATGGAAGCACATTACATTCAAGCCAATGTCTGCTTAACAGCCACCATGAAGCAATTTCTCTTCTTTCTAGGAATGCAACTTGCTGAAGAAGGGCTCGGTTCTTCTGGCTGACAATGTCATCGTCCCAGGAGCTCCAGATTTCCTTAACTATGTCCGCAACAACTCCCATTTCCAATGCTCTAACTACCCATCTCATCTGGAATATATGAAAGTGGATGATGCTATGGAAAAAGCTGTGTTTTTGGGATAAAGAGGGCCATTAATACTCAACTTTTGTTTCAAATGATGTAAATGCAACTGCACAAGTTAATTTTTCCATGCTTTAAATTTTGGGGTGTGGGTTTTTTTTTTTATTTTGGAGCCTGTAATTAAAGCAAGTGCTAGTGGAGATCAGGTGGAAACCAAGATCCTGAGTAAGGAGGGTAACTGCTCAAAGGTCTGTTCCATTGTTTCATATAATTCAGCAAACCCAAGGTGCAGCACGTTGCCTCGACCAACACGTGATCAAACACCACAGTGTTATTTTGAACTCAAACCTGATCAACCACAGTTTGGGCTTAGGGCTAGGTGGAGAAAGTTGCTGCAGCTTCTGGTGATGTGTGTCCCCAGGCTGAACTCAATCATTACCAAGAGTGGAAAAAAACGTGTGGTGGTGTGAGAAAAGACCATTTCAGGAGCCCTGGTTTTGCTAAATTACCAGCATGCCACTTAATGCAATGAAGGCTCCTATTGTGATGAGATACATTTCTGCATCATTACTACAAAAGTTAATCACTGCTATGTGAGAAAAAAGGGCATGCACTGAAAGAAGACAGCCCCATGCAGTGATGAGAAAATAGAAAAGAATTTAGCAGAAGACAAAGAAATAGAATTATTAATCTGCCCATGCAGAGGTAGGGAAAACTGAAATAGTAAATAGGTCAACACAGGAACAGACAGAGAACAGAAGGAGTAGGCTCTTTCCAGAAGAACACCAAAACCTCCAAAACTACATAATATTTGACCTTGAGAAAATGCTGTTTATGCCCTCATATTTACTTATCCCCTCATTATGTTGTATATCCATTGTATGTGCTTTTTAGGAACAGGGCAAGCTGCTTACTCTGAAGTGCTGTGTATGTTTAAGATGCTATATAAAAATAAAGACCAGAGAGAATGGGTTTTACCAGGTGGGTGCTGCACACCCTGGTTAACCTCAGTGCTGTTAACACTATGTGAAGTGAGAGTTGTTACCGAGAAGACAAGAAGCCAAATCTGAAGTCTCTCACTCACCTGAATAATGCAGAAATCCACTGGCATTCTGGCATGTCCTGCTGTGATTATATAATGAGGCAACGATCGCATTCATAAATAAACCATAAAACCCAATAGAGCTGGCACGTGACTTCGTTTGCCATGAATTCTCCACTGTACTTGGGATTTCCAGCCTTGGAACAGCCACAGAAAGATCTAACAATTAAAAATCAGAGTGAAAAATAAGGGATAACCACTCTCATTTTCCCATTATGGATTCTTTCAGACCTGTTATCAGCTTCTTCCTTTTATAGCCCACCTTACTGAAGTGGTATCTCTGCTGGCCTGTGTGCTACAGAAAATCCACCTCCAGGACACCAATCATGAGCCTATGAGAGGATTGCCCCACAGTATAAAGGAAAACTAGAACAGACTAAGGTGACAGTCAGGTTAGAAATGAACCAAGCAAACCATGGTGAGCCAGCCAGCTTGTAGTGTGTGCATTTCACAGCAATATGAGAAGGCAAGATTAAGAGAGTTTCTTCAACAACTGAAACTCTGTCACACTGAGAAAACCACAAGATTTACTATACTGGATTAGATTATGCAGCGGCAGCCCCTTGTGACTCTGTTGTGCTGTCCTGTGTAGGAGCAGACCGCGAGCTCCAACACTTCCATCTCACACTGTGAATAAGTTGATTTATTCTGTAAGCTTACTCAGCAGCATGTCCTCTTGGTGTACAGGCTCAACTCAAAACCACTGGGCCAAAGTCCTTCAGGGGATTCCAAGCAATTTTTGCAAAACTTGCAAAAGAAAGTAATCTTCAAGCAGACTGACATGCACAAGTTTCCAGAGCATACTGGAACATCTGGATACATAGTGTTGACCAGCATTCTTTTATGTACACCTAAGGTCACGACTCCAAAGAATCCTCTTTTGTATTTAGCTTCAAACACCTCTGCACCTAAACAGACACTCCTGCCATAGCAGGGCACTTCACACCTACAGATGAACAAACCAAAGTCTCAGATACATGCTGAAAGATGTGAAAATAGTAAATTAGTAGGATGTTCTGCACTTCACAAGAGGGGATCAGAAAAATACATTCCTACCGCTAGTTAACGGCCAAAATTACCGTCCCAGAGACTATCAAGAAAATCAGGGAAGGAGAGAACCTGTAGAAGCAGCATGGATATTTCAAAAGATGCATCAGTGAATAATGCATGTGTAATATATGTGCAAATATAACAGCCACCTTTTAGTATAAAAGAGGTATTTTGATTAATTAGGATCTCCCACATGGCAAATTGTGAAAATAAACACAGTGTGTGCATCATCAGATTATTTACAGAATTCCACACCAAGAACATTTTTTCCACTTGACCACACTTCTGAAATGCTCTTTAATTATTGGTGGCAAGGGATGAAAAGGAAAAAGCCTGACTCAGTTTGCATGACTGACAACTAGAAAAAAGGCTTTTGGTCAGTTGAGCAAATATGATCTGGAGTCACGGATACATAAATGTGAAACCTCCCCGGGACAAGAGTTACTTTGCAAAATAAAGTAATGCTTTGAATTCTGGCAGAACCAAAATGTGGGCAGTGCATCTTCTAATTCAAATATATTCTAAAAACCTGCTTAGTGTTCCTGCAACATCAGCCTATTGCAATTAGAAGATACAACCTATTCTTTCACAAATCAGGTATGCAACTCTGCATCTGGAAGCATGTGTTTAAAGAGCACCCACGGAGAGCGTACCACTGATAGAAAGCTCCCAATGGAAAGAACTCCCTTAAAACAACATGCTGCCTTTAGCAAATTCTCACAACTCATGTCACAAATGGCTGATCCCACCAAATACTGGTAATTGAGATCCATTCTCCAAATGACAGCTACTCTTCAGCTTCTCTTCATGACTCAGGCAACACCTGAGAGGTCTGGTTTCTGCAAGAGCCTCTTTGTTACCTCAGAAGGATGTGATGTGTGTCTTTCAAAATACATATAACGCAGTGATGCGTGCTTACTTGGTTGAGTAGTCAATTAGGAATTAGTTATATGGTATCTTATGAATAACAGCTAACTACATTTGCTGTGCATGTACATTAAACATAGTAAAAGTTTTTGCCTTTGCCTCTGGCTCTACAGCTAACAGTTCCATTATAAAACAACTTCCCACTGCAAAAAAACCCCTCTGTCAGCTTGTACCAGAACGAGATTCTGCCATTGCTGTGCTTCAGTTGCTCAGAGACCTTCACAGTAAGACACTGGGGAAGAGACCTCTGAGGACAGAATATTCCCCCAAGACACTGCTGAAACCTGAAACAGATGAGGACTGTGATATTTCTTGCCCATTGTTACCAAGTTAACCTTTCATCTGCAGAACTCACTGCTTCCATGTGCCCAACCTGTGATAAGCTGGAAATGAAATCACTTTGACAGCTACAAAAGGTCAGTTGTATAAACAGCATATTTGTTTTAGCTCAGTACCTTACCTACACCATCTGCTTTTCATTGTTGTATTAGTGTATCCATAAAGAAAAAACCAGATTCCTCATTGCAGCAGAACACTGATGATACCAAGGAGCATGATGCTAAGCCCAGAAGCCCCCATCTTGCCACAGCACTTGTGAAACGAAATCCTGCAGCTGCAAGAACAGAACCTGGAGATGATTTTACAGAACTGCTGAGGATGCATTCAGGACATCTGAAATAAAGAGGCAAGGCAAGCTGAAGATGACCTTTCAAGTGCTGTTTGCAAGCATTTGCGAGTAAACGGAACCTTACAGTAGTGCTGTGGATGGTACAATCAGGAATTGAACACATGGCAACTTTTGTTACTAGCTTTCCACTCACAGGAAACTTGACCTACACTCTACCTGTAAGACAGACAGTGTGTCAACATACACTGGGGTTTGCTTCATGCAGGCATGGTGGTAACTGTGATGTGTTCAGGTGCAGCCTCCCTACTGATCTTACCAACACAGACGAACGTGCCAGGGAACGGCAGTCTGAAAAAGAATTAAAATCTGTCAGTAACCAGATGTTACTTGAAACACATGGTTGACTTCTCAGTACCAGGATTTTTCTCCCCCACACAGCAACAAATGTAAATTATTTGGCACATTCCCAAAATAACAATTTCTTATGTCAACCAAACGGCACACATCACTGCAATAAAGATTTTCTGTTACTCTTACACTTACATTTATGAGAATACTTACACATATTTCAGAAATGGGAAAGCTTTGTAAAGTTACATGGATTTTATGACTAAATTAGGAAAGTTACTAACTTCCCAAATGGAAAAGCCATCAGCAAGCTAAGCTTGTGGTCCCAAATGTGCAGGCCTTTGAACAGTAGTGATGCAGATGTCTCTCCCACAGAAATATGTTTGTGTATTAAAAAGGACAAAACTACCATGATCTACAGTTCAGGGTCATGCTGCAACTCCAGCATATGGCAATGAATCAAAATATTTTCAGCTATACTAGTTTAAAGGATATTCCAATTCCCCAATTACCAATGACCTTTTACTAACACTGAGTACACTGACCTGAGCTAGGGTTGAATAACCCCCTGCCACAGAAATCTGCTGTTGCAAAGCCAAAGAACATTCGAGGTACCTGACATAACAAAAAGATAACCAATGGCACATGTATTCTTTCCAGGCATGGTTTATTGAAAACACACCAAATTGTTATCCTACATACCTGGTTTCTAACAAGCATTCTACTTGTCTGCATTATGGAAAGATCCTATAATAATAATACATTCTGTCACGGTAACATTTGTTCTATGAAAAGCATAATCCACCTTTTTTTTTTTCCTCTCCATACTTGTAAAATCAAACCATTCTAAGTGTTTCAGTTTATAGTACAGTGTAAATACAATGCAAAATCCCACCAGTCTAAACTACAGAGAGAATGTTGAGCAGTATTACAGAAAACACATTGTTGATTTTTTTTTATTCTCCTACCATGAAAATTTTAAGGCACATGATAGTTACAAACACATTAGCTACTAATTACCAGTAAGCTTCTTAGTCTAGTTATTTTGTTTTTCTGAACAG